ATATTGCTGGTCTTTACTCCTGCTTTGCTGCTTCTTGGCATATCCAGAAAAGCCAGAACGTCCCTGCTTCTGCTGCTTCTTTGGGCTCTTAGTGCAAGGAGTCCGTGTTTAAATCCCTGGTGACACTCGGGAGGTGCCTGAGGAGTCAGGCCTGCCCTCTGTGGATAATCGGTGCCAAGGCCAAGTGTTATTTATGGCTTCTTTATCTTTTTCATTTTTTAAAGTGTTTGTTTGTTTTTTGGAAGACAACGAGATCAGTTTGAGAGAGAGAAGTTAAGAGTCTGTAAGAACAAGAGTGGGAAACCGTCTGGAAGACTCGTGTGACCGTAAGTCTGATGCCACCAAGGTCATTGCTGAACACGTTTTGGCTTTAGAAACTGTTCTGCTGTTTTTATTTTATCTTTCTGACTCGGTCACACAGTGAGATTCTTTTTGGGGGAAGTTTCCCCATCGGTGTAAGTTCAACAGTGCTGAGCAAATACAACAAATAAAACCGAGCAAGTCCAACCAAATAGGAACAATTCTTCATAAAAACAACATCAACGAAAAACATGAAAAGGTATAACAACAGAAAGGCAGTAAAAAAAAGAGTACAACATTAACACAGTTAGTACAGTTTTAAGAAAATGAAAATATGTGTTAGTAGATCAGATATACAATATTTGTTAGTATTAACATATATGTAAACTGACAGCATCCTGCACATATAAACCATCCAGACGACTTCTGTTGTCTGGAAGCAGTCTGCTACCCTGTGTAGATTCCTCACATACTCAGGCATTCCTGAAAGATGCCATTCACTCACTGAAACAGCAGAAATATCAGCATACTCCACAGGTTCAGCATATTTGGCTTTGTGCATTCTGCACATTAAACAAATCCTTATTCAGAAAGAACTATTAAAAAAACAATGTTGCAGCCAAGACTCAATTTCTGTTAGTGTCCTGTTTTGAATATTTAAAACGCTTGGAACAGCGAGCGTGGCACACATCCATTTTGTACTGCTGTAATTCCAGGACTGATTTATAATTTATTTAGGATGGTTTTTGAGGTATTTAGTTGGCACAACTGCCTTCAAAAATGAGATCCATCAGTTTGAACCCCACTTAGGTTATGCAAGAGGGAAAGGATTTTTAGAAAACTGTATTTTATAATGGTGTGCATATTGTGTTATCCAATTTATATTAAATCTCTTGTGTATGGACCACTGTCATGTACCATTAGTGATTGTTTGTGAGTTGTAATAGATAAAATAATTCATTGGGATAGCATTAATCAAATTCAGTGAGATGCTGCATTTTGACTATTTAAACTTACAGCATAGCAAGGCGGTGGCATCAAAACCACATTAGGAACCCACGACGAGCACATTATAACCACATTAGGGTATGATGCAAACAGCCAAATGTCATGATATATTGCCATCTTATTAAAATTCTGTGGAAGGAAAAAAAATTCTTGAAGTTATGCCTTCAGCACTGTGGCTTTCTGCCCCTGATTAAAAATTCTGCCTCTTAGCAACCAACTACATCCATTAGAGGGTGCTAGTTAAACATAATTTTTCCCTTTAATTTGACAAACTCCATGGCGCACATTTCTGTACTGTGAATGCAGGTTAAGTTGGTTCACGGTTTTGTGGATTTTTGAGGATCATTAGTGTTCATTAGAAAGCAATAAGAAAATCCTGCATGCAGGTAAAATAGATTTTGTAAAATGTAAAACTCAAAAAGGTGCATGGCTCAGATTGAATTTGTGTAGCGCATGGATAAATGCTATGCCTGAAAAGGCCGTTTTGTTTTTGCGCATGTCAAATGAAATGTTACCAGGGTTTGCTGCAAAGAATTCCCTGGATGTTGGTTAGTTATTGTACAGTGCAGTAAAACTGCTGCTTCTAAGGTTCAGTTTACCTTTGGTTTAACTGGTTTACTTTTCGCAGATGTGTGTCTCGAAGCAGACTACGGCTACTGATGCTCACACTGTTCCAAAATGAGAGAAAACTATTTATTCATCATCCAGTGTAAAAGCCTCCTCCACCGGGGGTTGTCCATGTGGCTCCTTTGTTGAGTTTACAGGTTGAAATCAAACAACAGCCCTCTGAGTTCATCATGATCAAATGGATTTCCCTGTCTTTGGCAGACCTTGGGGAGATTTTTGCACCTATTGCAGGGTTGATGTTTTTTTCGTTTGCGTTTTATTGAGTCTATCGATCATTGTTTCAGTCTCATGCCCTTTCTTTTTTCTCGCCTCTCTGTCTTGTCTTACCATACTGTTAGTCATAGATACACACACTCACACACAGAGACCTTATAAAGACACTAAAGGTATGCACACCTACACAGGCAATGTGATGTTGAGAAGAAACTTAATGGGCTGTAGGTACTCTGTTAAGGGATCTGTGTGGGATAGGGATTACGACTTTAAACCTCTCATGTGTGGGCACGCAGACTATAACATTTTTTTTTTTTTAAATTTTCCATGTCACCACCTTACTGTTAGCTTTGCGAGACCTGTATTCATAAATGTATTCTCACTTGCAAAGCAGAACAATTCAGACTTTAAACTACAATAACAAAGATCCTCTTAACAGCTTTTCTACTTTTAGGACCACCATGTCTTTTTCCTCTCCTAACTTTTCCATTCAAGAGCATGACTAGTTTCACTTAACAGCTGCATTGCTTAACTTCTACATTGCAGAACATTGCTTCATGGCCATAAAGCCATACTTTTCCATTTAGCCCCTCTGGTAAAGCATTCAACTTTGTTCTTCATTTCACGTCAGACCTGACATTCTCTGATCTAGGCTGTCTACTTGCAGTATCACCATCAGACAACTTACTGTGGCATTCGTCATTACTACAGAGGTGAGGACTGATTGGCTTTTGGGACTAAGGAATCTACGGAAGAATTTGGATCAAGCGACAGAGGGTGCTGAGGGTTATTTCTTAAAATCTTCTTTAAAAAATGAACTGGAGCTTCAGAAATATACATTTTTATACTCTTTTGTGTTTTTAAAGTTCCTATTAGTTGCAAGTCTGGTAAAAAAAAAAAAAAAAAAGCTATTACATCTCATTCCTTTCCTGTCAGTCATTCACTGCGTTGGGCTTCAAGTACTTCCCTTTCATAGAGTGAACTTGTGATCAACTTCAGAATTCAAAATCGTGTGCTGCCTGCTGTGCAGACACATTTATATCATGCAGTAGTTAGTAATGCATGGTTAGAACCCATACAAGGCTGTACCAGACTCCTCCGAGAGGCAGAACATTGGGTTTCCAAAATAGATATTTGTAGGTCTGCAATGCAAGGACAAAATATCCAAATTTAAACTGAGTGAAGCTCCCTCTGGAAAAGCCCAGAAAAATGAAAGACTTGATAAAAAAATGAAAAGCCCTCCAACTAATTTCCTCCATAGACCCTCTGTCCTAAATAGCACACAGTGCCTCTTTGTCTCACATTCATTATCATACCCACATGCCGCGCGCAATCCTGCCAAAATTCTTGCTTACTTTACTGCACACATTCCTTATCAACATTCCTCAAGAATACACCTCCTAATCCGTCACTCTTCCTAAATAACCGCCACCGTGTGATGACTTCTTTACAATTCCGCACACAATTTCCGACTTACTTTTCACCCTCAATACGGCACATTCGTAAAGCCTCTATTTCACTTTCTGTAGCATGTCTGCACATTTGCACATTATGTGACCATTCAAATTAAACTCTATTGCCAATGCACAGAAATTCCTAGAATTATCGGGGAATTTTTAGCAGCCATCTAATAGGCATTTTTTTTTCCCGTTTGGCTTCCCCATCTCCCAACATTGCTCTTTCCTGTCATAGCAAGGGACTTAACGCTGTCTGTGTTTGTTGGTAGTATCCATGCACCATTCACTTTGACTGAACATTATGGTGACATTTGTTTTTCCCCTCAGTGACTTACCAGAGCAGACAGCACCCAACAGCAGCCATTACTGAAATATCCCTGACATCTCCCATTTAGACACCTTGTATCAGGTCAGTTGCATACAATTCTAAAATTGCATGCAGTTCAGTCTCGATGCAATCAAAATACCGGTTAATTGAAACTAAAAAAAAAGTTACATTTAATGAAGATTCCTTTGAGGACACTCATTCATTTAAAATATATACACATCACACAAAAGATGTGATGAGTGGTACAAAGTATCACCTATTCCACGACACAGACATGTCAAAGACATTGTGCTGTGTCTGAAGGACATAGTAGAGGTTACCCACAGTTTCTCTTTCTATCCTCTGTGCATGCACTCATTCACATAGAATCTTACCTCACATTTATACTCTAAAAGACAGCGACATAAGGGGGTTAAAATACAATCACAGCAAGACGTTCACTCAGACAACTACATTTTTGAGGGCAATTCTTCCAAGGTGATTTGATAAAGCTAGTGAGTGGATAAGCTGCCAGACATCCTCAGAATAACAAGTGCTCCAACTCAGAGGCTCCTTCGGCTTTGATGTTGGGCTTCAAACCTGGCTTTACTCTGACAGCAGATGCCGAGCAAAGTGTACACTGGCGTGCTTTTTCAGGTGACTGATCCACCCTGGGTTTAAAATATGAGCCAGTTGTTTCATTTGTAGCCTTTAATGAGCGAGCGCCATAATTAGCGATCACCCGTTAGAGATTACTGCAGTAGAAAGAGGGTGTCATGCACTGTCTCACTTACTTATGCTGCCCCTGTTTTTGATTTTGCTGGTATAAATATTGCTCAAGCCTTTTGACCCTTTCCATTAGAGTCTGGAAAAACAAAAACAAAAATACATGAAAGTAAATTATATTTTATGGCTCATCTTCCCAAGAAGAGTAGCTGCTTCAGGTTATTAATTTATTTTACTGGGAACCACTGCTTACACCTACACCAAGCAGTTCCTTGCTCCTGAACTTTATAGCATTTGTTGTGAAATTCAAATATTCCGCTTTCTTATCTCCAGCAGGACTGAAGCAACCATCCCCACCTCTCTGCTTATTCAATATAAGGTTTTTAGCATCATCCGGTTATTATCACAGCTAGCAAAGAAAGCAAACAAAAGAGGAAAAGGATTCGTTTTTAGTTGCTGCTGACCTGACCCGACCCAAGCTTCCTGCAGATTTCTTTCGTCTCTAAGCCATATCATCTCACTTTGAGCTTTAGTTGACCTTAGTGATTAGCTGGTAGGCAGATGGTGGGTGGAAAGCTGGCTGAGCCACACTGTCACCAACTTTAGGGCTCAAGAGGGAGCCCATGGGTGAGGATTATCCTGCGGAGTCAGTGCTGGATGTGTGTGTGTGTGTGTGTGGTGACTATACAGTACAATAGAGCTGATGATGGGGAAGGCATATGAGAAAAGATGAAACTGTCAGCAGACAAAGAAGCTTGATCCTGACGGAGAAATAAATGGGGCTGCACGTAAGCAAATCACAACAGGTACAGAAAGAAGTGACACTGGGAGAAAGGGTGGGGTGGCGGTGGTAGGAGTTCTGGCTCAGACCCTGGGCTTTCCTTTCACTGGTTTCAGGTGAGGGGGGACTCCTCTCTTAGGTCTTCTTGGCTGCTGATGGACTGCTGACTCTTTATCCCTCAGCATCTTGGAGTGCACTTCTGGAATGAGGTGGCCGCTGAGCACCATTCCCCCAGCCACCCTCAGTGCATAGTGGGCAACTTTGTTTCAAGTGTCACTGCTACCCTTTGTCCCACCCTCATTCTCCTGTGCTATGAGGCCTCAGCCTTGGGAGCTTCTTTCTGTCCATTCTTTAGGGACGGCGAATCTGATGTCTTCACCGTCTTCCGAGGTGGGCTCACTGGCTCACTGACTAGCTCGTGTAGCGATGGCTCCTTATACATTGCAACTGTGTAACAAAGATAGGAGTCGTCAGTTAGCAATTTAGGTTAATGATTAATAACTGAGAAATAAACTATTTCAGTATAGTTTTTTTTAATATACCCTCTATAACTTTAGGCAGGAAGTGTGCCGCTCCCTTGGTCTTCTTTACCCGGTTGCCCTTCATGACCTGACCGTCACGGTTGATACCGATATACCAGGAGCGGCCAGACTGGGTCTGCCGATAGAGCATGGAGGAGTACGTAACGTAGTAGTTCTCAAACACGCTCTCTTTGAACCTGCACTCAGGAGTGAAGTGCTCCTGAAACGAGATATGGAATAGGAGAAGAATTGCATTCATATTGTCAAACTGAACATAACAAGAAAAAGTAATCTGCAAATGTGATGAGAATATTTCTAAATTATCGCAAGTCTTTGAACTTGGACTACACTGCATGTCAGCCCAGACTAAAAAGGAAACAGAAAAAAAACAAAAAGAAAAATATGGGATGCATACTGTGAAACACATTAATGAGGTGGCTGTTTCCGGAGGGAAAGGAAGGATAGAATTAGATCTGAACTTGTGTTTCTTTGAGAGCGTGGATGTTCCGGTCTTTTAAGAACAGCAAGAAAAGGTGCAGACTATAATATAGATGTGAGAAAAAGCATTAACATCTCTGCTAAACATAACAACTACCCAAAGGGAAAATGCATAGATGGAAAAAGAAGATGAAAGACACCTAAACAATGACACCAACACACAGTGTGCACACATACATTGCTGTGTGTACATATAAATGACATCAAAGTGCAGGAACTGCTTCGGAGACATCACAATATGCTGAGCCTGGGATGATTATAGGGGTGAGGATAATACTGGTAAAGTTTACCAGTGTTTGGAATCACTGTTTCTGCAATATGTATGCCATAATTGGTTATGACATGCATACCGCATTTAATTTGTGTTAAGCTTATAATTATGACATGCATAAGAAGTTGTTTTTAATGTGTTTCCTGGTTAAATAAAAGTTACATAGACAGAGACGCCCATTGCAGAGCCAAACACCACAGTTTCCAAAAAGTAGACACCTATGTGGAAATTACCCAACTGCAGTTGGTTAAAATTATTATTCTTTTTTTATCAATGTACAGTGGCAGTTACTAGTTAAAAGATGTTACGAAGCCACAATCCGCTACCCAAAATTTCAGCCCTGACAAATGGCTGCACCACCGCCTCTCTTTAAACCCTCTTTTTTGCTCTCTTTGTAATTAGATGTTGTAACATGATGTAAAGTAAATGGCTGAATTTCATTTAAAAAAATACAATAAAAATCAGTGAAGTCAAGTGTAACTATATTCTGTACTGGGACGTGAACGCCAGCATGGAAGAAGCTAACGCTACAGCTGCTAGCACTGCAGAGGCCAAACTAATCTGAAGTTCTGCACATTTCAGCGACACTTCTAGCAACGGTAACGTTATATTAGCTATTAGGTCTGGCTTTGGGGACAGGGATGGGGACACCCTTTTGCGCCTGGGGACAGCTAGACTGGGACATAACGATAAACGTGTTTAACAGTTTCAGCTCTTAAAATGCAGACTGAATACTCATTTGACCAATATTTAATTTTGTATTTTTAAAGCATGCTCACCTTCAAATCTTTTCTCAGGATTTTGTATCTTTTTCGACAATTAGAAGACTAGTTGCCAATAACATCCTTAGTTAAAGGCCCGGTGGAAATAGTTTTTGTTTCTGTAGTTAAATTTAACCTGTTGTGACAACAATATAGCATTTTCTTTTTGACATATATTGAGTGCCATTTCTTGAGCATAGAACATAATGGCTATAACACTGCTAGCATTAGCTACAGCAGAAACAAGCAAAGAAACGGCACAGCCAAAATACCAAAGTTGAGCATTTAAACCAAGGGGTGGTCAAAGGAGCTTGCAAAGAAAAGCGTCTGGACTTCTTTAAGTTACTTGAAGTAACCTAGTGGGAGTAACCCACTAGGTTACTCCCACTAGGTTTATATCTGGGACTCTCCACCATTTGACCTTAGAACTGAAGAAGCTTCTCGGATGAGAGGTGAAACGTCTTCAAGTAACTTAAAGAAGTCCAGACGCTTTTCTTTGCAAGCTCCTTTGACTACGATGACCTGGATGACTGAGAACCTTCACAGACAAACCAAGGGGTGGTTTCTCAGTGGCCCAAATTAATGAATTGACTTAAAACAAAACATTTTTTTGGGCAGAGTCAACGCTGAGGTGTGAGAAAGTTCACATCTATAGGACCTCTAAATCTTAGAAAAACAGGTTGAAAACAAACTAGATTTTAAGGGTCACAAACTAGTATTACATTTATATTTACGATACATGTTTGGGTTTTTTTTGTTGGTTTTTTCCAGACTCAAATTAAACAACAGAAAGATCTTTCACCCTGCAATCCCCTAAATGAGATTATTAATATAGGCCACTCTCATGTAATGCCAATTGTCCGTGACTGGCCAAATGTGTATAGACAACAGAAAATCAAATTAGAAGAACTTGGATCATGTCCAACAGTTAAACCATTCTTTGTAAGTGATCATGTCCCTGCAGCACTTTCCCTCTCTCTGTACTCAGTGTAAGAGCTACTGAACACTGCATAATGTTGGCTGGTGAGATTAACCAATTGTGACAGATATACATCACTCTTAGTCTCCATCAGGGTCTGGACAGAGTCTGTCCCCTGTCAGAGAGCAAAGCCAATCTGTTGGATTGATTAAGTGAGAGCAGCAGGCCAGAAATGGCTGAGTGGAGAATTTCTGAGACTCGGGACAAACAGTAGCATCAAACTTGGCGTAGACACGTTTTAATAAAGAGACATAAGAGACCTTCAGTTTCAAACTTATCACAGATCATCAACTTTCTGCTTTATAGGGGAGTTTTATCCTTTAGCAAGGTATTTCAGGACTGTGTGTCCTCCCTCCATTTATTTCTGACCCACTGCTCCACCAATGTTCATGTCCATTTCACTGCCACCTTCCTACCATATGAAAATAAGCTTCTACCCTTAACTCAACAAACACTCCTGCTACCACCACATTGCAGAGCTATTTTAAGATCCACTGACAGGTTTGATATCTTCTGCTGTGCTAACACAGAGGATGGGATCGATAGATGATCTGCTTCATTCATTATTAATCAGACCAGAGAGCAAGAGGGTGGGAAGTGCGGGAGACAGAAGGGGAAAGGTAGGGGAGACAGGAAAGAAAGCAGAAGATCACTCAGAGAGGACAGAGGGGTTGGTGGGTAATAAAGGAGATTAAGAACTGAGAGAAAGGGAGATCCCTATTATCCCCCAGGACCAAAAGGAGCGCACGCTGAGCTGACAAGGGCTTTAGTCATCAGCACCCCACAATCTAACACTCACATTCCTCTGGAAACAGAACCCATTACTACAGCGCAATGCCCCTTAGTTCAACCTCTGAAATGACACCAGTGATAACCCCTCTCCCAAGTCATCCTATAATTACCCTTCATAATCACGCCCCTGAAATTAGTCTAATGATAGAACTCGTGTTTTCTGTACTTCATTCAAGTAGTCTCAGAAGATCTAAAGAAAAACCATTCTGCGAGAGCAGGCAGGACAGTAAAAAAATGTCCTTATAATACAAGGATTTTTGATGATGACCTACCGCAGTGGCTTCTATTGCTCTCCCTAATGGATACAAATATGTTACTGTAATTATCGCCATCTCTCAAACTCACCTTGAGGTAACCTTTAGACCCTAGCAAAACAATAGTTTCCGCTCCCACTGACAACATCACTCAAGCCACCAACGTCTGCAGATGAATTATTGCTAATGATGTGTGGAGCGTTGCACATTTTAAAGAGCAATGAGGGAATATTTCCATCTAAGTGGTGGGTACTTGGACTGAAAACGAAAAAAAAATCTCCTTCTTTAACCGTGACTTATTCGGAGACTTGGCTAGCTAGCTTCCCTCTTCATGTGTCGCAAGCCAAAAAATTAATGCGAATGAAAGCAGATGAGAAAGATAATATGTAGGGTCCGTGCGGAGAATTCCTAAGATGGGTAGAACCTTTTTATGATGCAGAGTATCATCCAGACCTTCCCCGCCCACACACGCAACCTCCTTCCTCATTCCTTGTGTGTGATTACATCTGTTCTACCTGCTTCAGTAAGCTTTGCTCTCCACCACGACCATACTCTGGAAGTGCATCAAGCCACACTCACACACTCACAGGGCAGAGTTCCCTAATCTTACCCTGCAGATAATTAGGATATAGGGGACAGGAGTGAGGTTGTGACTAATTAGAGAGAGTAATTCCATGCATGATATGTAATATCTTGTTCACTTTAATTTCATCATGCATGTACAAGCATGAAATCAGAACTGATGCCCCTGAAAATATAGCTCTATTTCTGTAAACCAAAACATCATTTGCATTTATCATGTTAAAACATTTGCAGTTCCCCATTTAGACAGCAGGGGTCATAGTGTCATGCAGGCTTCCTGCATCTATTAACCGGCCCATCAACTCCTTGTGTAATCTATGGGAAACTGTGAAATGTGCCCAGCTCCAGTAATCCCACCACATTCCCATAGTTCTGCATCACTGCTGCAGCAGCCCACTCACATGACAACATGAAATGTAAAGCTCATCCATGCAACATTCACCTAGTACACACACATACATGCTCTCTGCGTTCAGGAAGCCTTCCACCTCCCCCTCCCCAGCAGGGCATGTTGCTGATGTTGTTTGTCAAGCCAGATGTGGATGCACTATGACACGACGAGTTACATAAGTCAGTAGACTACAGAAGCTTATTAAGAGGGATTCAGAGAGGATGAGAATACTGTCTAGCACCACACATGTATGATCTGTCCCTAATGCAGTCCGGGGAGAAATGAAGCTCACATGACAAGAATAGAGTGGATGATAATGTGCTGAGACTCGTGGCTCTGCAGTGCTGATTGATAGCTGGAAGTCCCTTGTCAATATAATGCTGCTGAGAGTGGAGCTGTCGCTGACATTCCCTTCTTCCACCGTCGGCAACAGCGGTGACTGTTCCGCACTGCCCGCTGCCTTTATCAGAAAACCCTCTGCTTTAAATATTCTGGGACGCAGCACTGTGGTTAATAGCTATTCCATACTAGGGCTGCCACAAACGATCATTTTGATAGTCGACTAGTCACCGATTATTTTTGCGATTAGTCGACTAATCAGATCATCATCCATTGGACGTAAAACTACAGCTTATTGCACCAGCAGCATCTGCTCATATAACTATCATTAGCTTACAGCTTTAAGTGTTTAA